CCACATCCATTATTTGTTTGTAATTTTCCGCCTATTTGTATTCTTCACTATCTAATTATTTACACACATCTTATTACGTAATGATTTTTAAGGTTTTGTGATTACTATTCCTAGTCTATTTACCCATGTTTGTTTGACCTTCTATTTCCAACGATTAACTATTGATAAGAGTTTTGTTATTGTATTTTATTATTCTTACTATTATCAGTTCACCAGTCTTCCTACTATAAACTTGTGTAGTGACTTATTCTATTTCATTGTGATTATTGACCCATATTGCCTTGATTTGTTTAAAAAATTTTCGTATAAATATTCATGTATATTAGAGTAAAGCTTGATGATGATCTAATTGAAAACAATTGTTCGCTTATATGTGTTGTTCTAATTTTCACAATGGGAATGTTTAATATTTTTTGATTGTGTGGTAGATTGTCAGTTACAGAGTCATTCTAAAGGCACTTAATACTTTATAGAAGACAGGTCATTATTTCATTAGTAAAATTTATATTTTTTCTTTATTTAGCCTCTTCTAACAAAACAAACCGGATCGGTAATAAAAAGGTTATGTTTCAAAGATACCGAAAATTAATAATTGCTGTGGGACCAGAATACTGTACACATCAGATATACAAAAACATGAGGGATGTAGTTATTATGTAGGATCGGGACGGATAGCTTAGAGACTGATACTTAACGACGGATATTAAAAGGTGTTATTTGCTACTTATTGATTTACTTGTACGCTAGATAAACATGCCATAGGGCCCTAAACATAAGGCATATGTTCACTTCAAGCAATTATAAAAACGACATTGTAAAAACAAGAATGTGAGAAACGTCAAAGTAGATAGGTAAGTAGCTTTCTCTTTGACTGTGTTATATTGTTAAGAACTCTCTTGATTAGAGATTTTAAGAAAGTGAGAAAGATGTGAAAACACTTACACTTTTCATTACGGTAAGGAATATATTCTCCTAGAAACAACTAGACTGAAACAACCGAGAAACTTGTGAAATTCACGAATTGCGTGAAAGCAATGTGCAATTCGTAACATGACTTTTTGCAGCATGAATTAGTAAAAACTGCAAGGGAGCTCAAACGAATCAAGATTATATTAGTAGTTGCTTGCCTACGACCCATGGCATAGAAGGAAAGACACTAATATGATTATGACTTATCAACGCTCACTTCAAATACACACAGAGAATAAGAGAATACAGATCTCCAAGTATCCTACAAAAATTTTCAAGAAGATAAATAAGAAAGAAGACAATAGTGGATTGTTGGAAAAGTAAATTTGAATGTATGCAGAGGTCAGGAAATCTGAGATTTCCAAGCTAGTTATTCAGAAAGACAGGAGCGTTTTACGTCGAGAGATGCTATCTCTGTTCAACTGAGTGCCTTCATACAAGCGATGAATAACCAATACACTTACTGTACAGTTGAATATCACGTGTTTTCTAAACCTACCATAGTAATATACAACTTCATACTGCGTACTGTAGTTTTGAGTTCTTGGTCGTGTCTTTTTGAAGTTCTGAACTTATTGGGATAACTATTATTGGTTTATAATATTTCAAATACATGATACAATGGCGAGGATTAAAACTACTAGACAGTATGATTGACGAATATTGACATGAATACCTATTTCAAAGAAATATTCGTTGTCTAAAGTAGAAGTATCATATTAAATGTTTCCAACTATTGCCGAGATACTTGAAAGATTTATTTGTTCAGCATTTAATCGGTTTACTAAGTCTCCGAGCTAAATAATCTTTTTCATTAACCCAGAAGTTCTCACTAGCCCAACGGGGATGGTTGTTTGAAGATATCTGCATAGTACAGTTACAATTATTTATCTAATCCATGTAAAATTAGAAATACATATGATTTAGTCCAAATTTATACTGTAATTTAAGTCCAAATTACTTTTGCTCTCCAACCTGTCAAGCCCAATTTGACTGTTAGAATTTCTATTTACTTATTCCTTTGCATGTAGCTTTCCTTTATCAAGTATTTGCACAAGCTATAACTTTCCGGCGAAGAGGTGGGCTGGTAAAGGTCCTACTACAGGGATGAATATTAAGAGAGGAATATGCATCTCTAATCGGAGAATTTCCAAAATTTTCAAATTAAGGCTAAGAGATACACCTCAAGGTAGTTTCAGTCGTAGCACTTCAGCCATGCAAATCAATCCATGTTAAAATCAAACATACAAACGCCACAGGAAAACACACAATGGGCACTGGATCATTTTTTGCACACTGTGGAGTGTGTAACGGAAACATAACATAAAACGTACTATCTAGTTCACAAAATGTTATGCCACCATACTAATCAATAAGCTATGGTGGTACAAGAGGCTGTACGAAAACTAATGGAGAACGATAGGAAAACTACGGAGTTGATGTTATACAGGTCTCGGAAACTGGCACGGAAGGGCCAGGACAAAACCTATGAGGACGATCAATAGTAGTCTTCGGACGCTAATAAATCATCAAGGAGTTCTAAAAACAACAGATACCAGAAGCTCCAACCTACTTCATAGTCGTTCATTTCGGGGACTGTGAAGTTCTAGGGATGTGGGGCAGCAGGAACCATGACATATGCGGCCAAGTTCGGTGTAGTGAAAGCCGACCTCGGTAATTGAGGAAATCAGGAAAATTATAGGGATCACATAAGAGTTTAAGCGGTGTTAGAACAGCAGCACAGGAGATAGTCTTAAGATTGCAACCACAGTTGTTAAGCTTAGCATATCAAGTTGAAACTCATTTGACCCAGTTTTCACATAGCTGAACAGTTTATCTTTTTGGACCACGCGCGTTTTCAAGTCTAACGTGGTCTCGTTGATATCTCACCAATAATCTAAAAATATTCACTTTTCAGTACCAAAATGCAACATTCAAACAATTTCAAGGATACACATTTCATCATTAACCTGCTGTAAGACAACAACAATTCCGCCAACTATAATCACATTGTAGGGGTAAATAAATCCCTAAAATAAATAGCTCTGTAAGTTTTCGACATTGGATGCTGACCATATGTCTTAGTGGACTCATCTAGCTGAAGGTGCTCGGTCATGCATCCGTACCAGATCACGTGTGGTAACGCCGTGCTCAACATCTACCGCAATCGCCAGGCAGATTAGATCAGAGAATTCCCATATATTGGTAATCACCAAATACAGTCATCCGATCTCCTCGACTCTGTCTTTTGATTTCGCTTGGTAGGTACGAATTATATTGGAAGGTGTGGCTGGTAAAAGCGTTGTCAAACACTGAATACCTGTGCCATCATCAAAATCAAGCTTGAAGCATTTTACGATAAATTCATCTCACTCGATCAACTGCTCTTTTACTTATTGTTTTAACTACAACATACATTCGTCTTTTTCTAAACACAGAACTTGTGGATAAGTTATGTGATCACCGCAAGATTGTTTCCTAGAACGGTTAGAGATGAATTTGCAATTTTAAGTGCCTTATAGGTTCCTTCGTCGTGTAGCGACGTGATGGGCTACACAAAACAGGAGGCGGAATGGTAATACACATTGTCAGTCGCTTCAAATCTGCAATGCCACGTATTAGCGAGTTAACCGAGGTGGTAGAATCATGCCGGTGTTACGTAGCTGCGAACGGAACAAAGTACTTGATTGGAGGAATGGACCGGCACACACAAGTGATAAGACTCAAAAAGATGAGACAATGCAAGCAATACTAAAGTTACCACACTTCTGATCTGACCAAATATCACTAACTGGAGGCGTCAACAATCTGTACCTTAATCTCAGCAAGCGGGATACATCCCCTACAGAATGGTGTGGCAAACTGATTATCACAGTCATTGAAGGTCCGGCACTGACTGGAAGTGTAAGTGACTCCACGTGATGGAAGATGAACGGGAAACTTTCAAACTTACATTATTTACTGACAGATGATTAACTTCTAGTTGACGGTGTCCAAGTTCACGCATCGATATTATGTAGTGACCACGTAACATTTATGTTCTTCAAAGAGCGAAATGCCTCTACCTCTGTTTTAGAGCTTTGTTAACGATTTACCATATGAAATTAGCTCAGTGGCACTGATCTATGCGGGAAACGCATAGATATGGAGACCAATAAAAAACGAAAAAGATTCACGTGAGCTTTGGAAGGACCTAACAACTAGATGGGAATGGGGAGTAGAAAGTGGGATAAACTTAGCCTTTCGAAATGTCATGTCACGAACATTCTGTGTCATTTGGTAGAAAGCAATTACAGTCTCCGTGAAAGTCAGCCCATAATTATCCCCTCAGAGTGTGATCCTCGGTTTGCACCCTCAGAAGGCATAGACACCAGTTCAAAGTACTCAGGGGATGCAGTCAAGGCAAACGCAACTTCACTTCATGCGTAGACAACTTTGGACAATCACGTCCGAATTGTTCCTAATTTTCCTTTAAACATACGCACAGCTTCGACTTCAAGTACACAGTGTTATTGTACCCTCCTAGAGGCAACATTTTAAGCATTGTGCATCGAGGAGCAAACAATTCGGTTTTCTCTATCACCTGAAGTAACTACAGCCATCTCAGTGGATAGCCTCGAAAGAAAATTTTACAAATATGGGTCACCTATTGACCAGCTGTCTGATGCATATCTCACAATTCGCCTTTTTTATCACTAGTGCATGACAGTGAATACTGCTCATCTCGCTTATCATCATCACCTTTTCTCTCTTCACATTTTATTTCTGTCTGCTTACCAATTATGTAAATTATTTATATATTCTTGAAACAATCGTCTTCATCATCACTGTATACTTCTAACACTGCAGCTAGTCAACATCCTGTCTGGTGATGTGACGGCTACTGATATCCAGAAACCCTATTGCCTTGAGACAACTCGCTGAAATTGCAAAATATACTAACAACCATTCTGATTAAAATTAGTGTAGTGAAGTAACCGGACTATCGTCCATTGAACATAAACAAATACCCTAAAACGTAAAAAAATCAACGAGAGATGAGGACCAAAAATTTAACCGTTTTATGCACGGTGATGACAAGGATTTTAGATGTTGGATGTTGAATATTAGAAATGTTGCGGAATTGTTGATCTCCTCGTTATATTAGGGTCAACCGTCAACGTATAGACAGAAGTGGATCACTTCCACTTCGTTTAATTTATACGAAGTTAAAATTTACGACCGTTTAGAAAACAGGTTCGAATTTACTATGTTTAAATATTCCAAAATCTTTTTTTTCACACTAATCATGTAGTACTACATGTTACTGATCCATGGAAATTGAAACGAAAGGAACATTCGTGTCGTCCACTTTGTGAACTTAAGTTCTTTCGAACATGTGTGTTAGCGATGTCGTTCGAGAAGTGGACGGTATATTCCTTTCACCATCTTGTGTACCCATATCTTCTGGTTTCTGTTTTTAATTTTTCTAATTTCGAGAGAAAAGTCAGTGCATATTTCAGTAAAAACCCCACGGCCAGCATGAATCTCAAAAATACTGCTCGCGTTGTCTTCTGAATTTTGCTTAAACCACTGCCGAAACTCATTGTTGGAGAAATTTTACTCAAAGTTTAGAGAACGAAATTTGTTTGTTTTTTATTCATGTATTTCAGGAAAGCCATCCTCTTACCATATATATATGATATAATCACGGCTTTGGTGTTTTTCTGGTTGAAAGCATGGTCTTAAATGTTACCAGTTGAGCGGTTGCTCAATTACTTAAAAGTTTATTAAATTATGGTTTCATCTTGCAAATCTCGTTTTTATTTTATAGTTGACGTCAAATTTTACTTATGTGATAGTTTTACTGCGGAATTAATGTAAGACAGTGGTACTTTGACACTTATGCACAAGATTGCCAGCTAAATGAATGTATTGACTTGTTCGTGGGTGAGTATTGCACTAATCAAATACTGCTTATAACAGTTAATTAGAGTTAAACTCTGACTGAGAGCTTACAAGACTACTTTATGATGGTGGTGGTAAATGTTGGCTTAGTTTCCTGACCCGTCCCATGTATACATTACTCGATAATATATAAATGATCACTTCAGCAAATGTATAGTGATTTGTGTATTCTTATGGTTGAAGATTTGAATTAAACAGTATTACTGCTTCTATTTAAAAAGGCTAGTAGAGCGTGTATAACTGATTGCAGTAGTATGGTCTGGAACGCTATAAGTATACCTTGTTCACGTTTCTATTAACATGATTCATTCTAATCGTCAATCACTTCATGGACTGATGCTGTTTTGGTTTAGCCACTAGTATCGTTCTTCCAGTCATTTTATTATTTATTTGAACATATAAGTATTAGTACAAAAGGGCACTGAATGCATATGCGCCACACAAGTCACTTGGTTTGTGTATGGGCTGTGATACTGCCTGGGTGCCCAGACCGAAGCAGGTTCCAGTCTACTACACCAGATAACATCCCTCCGTCGAGGCAGACAGTGGTTAAGCATACGTAACACATGTCCCAACCACCTCAGTTGATAAAAGTTTACTCCTTCATCAGTCGACTTCCCATCTTTATCAAGTATTCTATTCCTAACTTAGTCGGTGGTCCCAAGATACACGAGCCATGCTTCAAGGATACATGATCGAATACTAGTAACCTCTGTTCTTAATGCCCGTGTTTCATATCTGTAATGTAGAACGGAGCAAACTGCTGCTCTGTAGACTCTCCTTTCCGTTAGAAGACGTATATCTGGTCTACGCAACAAGTGACCCAACTTGGCAAAAGCCAATCGAGCCTTTCAAATCCATGCCGAGATTTTATCAGGCACCAGATCATCAGTACTGATGAAACTCCCCAGATGAGTGAAGCGACCGGTGTGTTCAACTTCACTCCCTATCACTAGCTCAGGTGGTGACACAGGTCATTCCTGAAGTAGCATTTTGCATTTGAAGGAAGAGAACTTTACCCCAAACATGTTTACATTGTCGCTTAAGGTGGTTAGACGACTGCATTTTGTCAGTGACTTCACCAAACAGATTTATATCATATACGTGTTCCAAGTGAATCTACTGGTAGAAGATCAACTCCTGAAAAGTTAGACGATGGAAGTCTTATTTCTAAAAGCACGTCTATGACAAAGTTAAATAAATATGGAGAAGGTGGACAACCCCAACGACCACCACTTGAAGTGACCGATTCACCATAAGATTTGATTCGATCAGTAGTATTCGAGTAAAGAGCTTGTACAAGGTTGTGCTCCTTCGGTATGCCTTTCAATGACAGAAACTGACACGGAACCTCAAGACCAACAGAGTCGTACGCTGCCTTAAGGTTAAAGAATGTAACTATAGTAGGACGTCGAAAAGTATATCTATGTTCAAGAATCTGCCGAAGAAGGAATATTCGGTCTATACATCCATGTTCAGGTCTGAAACCAGCCTGGTTTTCTCGGGTTCACTCTTCAGGAGCTCTAGTTAGACGTCGAAGTATTATTGAGACTAATATTTTAGACACTATATTAATTAAACTGATTCCTGTGGTTGTCATGAGAGGATTTTTGTTCCTTCTCATAGATCGGAACGATCAGCAATCGAGGCCAGTCAGATGGAATTATATCCAGCTCCCAGATTCTGGCTAAGATCTCAGTCAATCCAATATTTGAAAGTTGGCCACCAATCTTGTAAGTCTCATGGGTTAATCCATCAGATCCTATCGCTTTCCTACGCTTCAGGTTACTTATAGCCTTTTCAACTTCACTAAGAGTTGGAGGCATTACATCAGTTTGTCATTCAGGTTGATTGAAAATAGTTGCTAACTGAAGTCTGGCTGTCAGGATCTCAAGGAGCATGTGTTCCAGCCAGTGTAGCTCGGTTGAGTCGTCACAATTGACATGCTCGGCCACCACGTTAAGGTAGCAGCTACGTTCGGGCAGTATCGATCACAGCGTGTCGAAGATACGTCCCCTTCTAATTTTCTTCTGAATGATCAGTCTCAATATTCCGTTATACATACCTTTTCGGACCATATTTCCAATGCTTACTCTTTCTCACTATCACTGATACTATTATTGTTTTGACTTTCATTGCTACGGATCTTGTTAATTGTATTTCGCTCTAACGTAGTACGGTAACATGGACTAATTTCAGGCTGTGCAGTGATCATGAGTGAGGTAGTAAACGATGACAAAGAGCAGACTACAGCATGATGCTGATCTCAAAACTTACTGATCTTTAGCATGTTTACAGAAGTTTAGGCTAATAAATTTAAATCTTTAAAAGGTTTCGAATCAGTATTTCAAGACTTCTAATGGTTATCTCTCTGAATCGAACACAGTACGATAAGTTTGTTCATGTTAGTCTTAGAAATTATACTACTTTTCGGTAACTTTACTTCTTGAATTTTTTCCATGGTTATTCAGAAATTTCCTCATTTTTGTTGACTTTTCCGTCTTGTTTTTTTAATTTGTTCTTTCTCTACTTACGTCTTTGTTTATTTGGGCGTTATATTTATCTGTGTTTAGTTCTTCTTTTGTGTTTTGGATTTTGAAGTCTTGTATGTTTGTTTGGTAACTAAAGTATCACATATTGTCAAACTCTTACTTTTGAAACCTACACATGGATATTAGCATAAATAACTAGGGTTTTTATTATTGCCTGGATAAAAAATTACCTGAGATTAATCGCCTAAACTATGTTATTCAACTATTGTTAGAAATTCTAGTCAACAAATAGGTATGATTTTGATTATACTATTAATCATACGTCTTGAGTTCAAATAAGGGACCTCGATCTTGTAAGGTTTATTTGTATTGTTTGTTAAAAGCTCAGTTTTTATAACGTCTTTGATAGCGATAACTGTCTATCAGTAATGAAAAGTCATTCTATCAATCATTTTCAAATAGAGGTGTTTGTACGAGTGTCAGTTGTATTTCAATGATAGATTTGTGTGTCATGGATATCTCGTGAAGAATGTGGGTGTTTAGTGTGTTTTTCGTGTTGTGTTTTCCCTTGCATCTCTTACAAACAAATTACTTTTCCAACAGTAAATTCCTCTATATTTTGTACATATAGATTCATATTAGATGATGTGTTTATAATCCATTTTTTGTAGTGTAGTATCTCCTTAAAATACTTCTGAATTGCTTAGACAGTGGGATTATAGTCTTTTCCCCTTTTAATTGGATTCCAACTGGTCTATGGGTCAAAAGCAACCAAAATTAAAACAAGATGCAGTTGAAGAACTACTAAACCAAACATCTTTTACGGAAACTGAAATTCAAGACTGGTATAAAGGGTTTTTGAAGGTTAGTTGAGTTGGACATGTTACATTGCTTCCGCATTTTCAGTTGTTTAGCGATATTAGTTTTTGTTTTATCTCCTAGTGTTTGCCTCAGTTCAGCAGAAGCAAACATCTAATGTGATGGTACCACCACGATTTCACGTAACTTCGACTGGGTTGTTCGTATTTCATGTTCATCCTAAGGTAAATGATTGAACTTCCACTATATTACGTCAACGAATAAATATATCTGAACAGTAGGATGAATATTTGCGTAATATCTGTAGTTATCTTGTTTTCTACATCTAATTCTTTGCAACACAAACATAGTAGCTCCATGTGGTTTTGAAAGTAGAATACTGCCAGTAATCGTCACATAAAATGTGTGGCTGTAAGTTAAGTACATAAACCCTTATTTTACAAATGCGTTACATTGTTTTACTGAAAAGGTTAGTTATATATGAGCTAAAATATTATGTGGTTAATCATTGAAATATTTGATTGAACTTTAATAATTGAAATTTTAACGCTTATGAAATTTCTCCGTACAATGTAGTAGTTTATCGGTTAAATTACTAAACTTTTAACCACTAAGTTACATTCTTGACTCCTGTTCTAATTGCTTTGGTCAAGCACTGCTACTTACTCTCATATAAAATTATAACTAGAACTTGAGTAAAGTAAAATGTTTAGTTGGTGGGTTACGATGTCACGAATATTGAGTTTGACGTTAAAGTTATGTTTCACTAAGGACTTATTTAATCGACTTTCATTATTTTCTGATTTCTTTCAACCACTCACCTTAGATTTGTTTGAGATTTCGTTCAGCATAAATTGTCATAGGTTATTACTTATAGCACAGTGTTAAATGTGGCAAAACATGTTCAGAGTGTATTTTAGCATTCTACCAAAAACTACACTGGGTTTTAAGACTTTGATTACTAAGATGAAGAACCAAAATATTTCTGTTCATGTAAGACGAATTTGGTGTTAAAGCCCTGATTAACAATTTTCAATAAACACGTCAATAAACTATGAAAATCCTCTTATGGTTTAGTAAAGACAACAGTTTGTGCTGACATGTAGAAAGTCACAACGAACGAATATAACCGTAATTTACACATGTTATGCCATATACAACTGTTCAAATGTTCAATAATCATTTTTCCAATCAAAGAAAATAGTCCAGTTTTCTATTTATCTCTTTGTATTTTTTGCTTTTTACAAAGGAATGCCCAACTGGTTATTTATCTATTGATGATTTTAAACGTGTTTATACAAAGTTTTTCCCATATGGTGAATCTAGTCGGTTCGCAGAGTATGTATTTCGTACATTTGATCAAAATCATGATGGTTTGATTGACTTTCGAGATTTTCTATCCTCATTAAATATAACTAATCGTGGTGACTTATCACAGAAATTACGTTGGGCATTCACGATGTATGATTTAGACAATGATGGTTATATATCAAAACAAGATTTAATTGAGGTTCTTACTGTAAGTCTTTGATGTCGTTGTTTTGTTTTCTACATTGTCTTTTCGTTTCAAGATTAGGTTATGGAAATTAATAATTTAGAAAACTCAGATAACATAGTTCTGTTTGGTGAAGACACTGATAAAATGCAGAGTATCTTGGTACCACTGAGCAACAGTGCCAGGATGTTTGGGTTACATTTCCGTCACTAAATACAAATTGCTGCTTCAGGACTGGCCTGCGTCAACACCTGAACTAAGGATAAGAAGTGAAATAGCAGGACGCGTCGACAACTTTACTTATCTTGGAAGTCCGATCAGCCCTAATGGGTCGGTATTTGACGAAATCTCTGCACTGATTAAAAAACTCGTTTGGTTTTTACAGACTTGCGCCACCTATAGTGAAGGCGAGATATCCGTCTATCAATTAAAGGGCGAGTATACTCCGCAGCAGTTTGTTCTGTCTTACTTTACGGCTGCGAAACGTGGCCATTAAAGGTAGAAGATACTCGTAAGCTAATAGCATTTGATCACGTATGTCTTATAAATATTGTTCTCATCTACTGGGATCACCGGGTAAGTAATAGTGAGGTGTTAGACGCAGGTTATTGTGGAATGATGGTAAGTCAGGTGATGAGATTGCGAATCTTCATTGACTGAAATGGTTGAGCCACGTATTACGGATACCCAACCACCGGTTACCACGGCGCGCAATGCCGACTAGTGTTGGAGACGGGTGGTAGAAAGTTAGGGGCAGCCAAACTAAAACGTGACATCAGTCCATGAAGTCACTAACTTCTAGTCTGAGCCATGTTGGTAGATGCAAACTACTTGGTTGGGGTCCGCATGACTATCGTAACCAATGGAGGAGACTCTGAGTGACATGGCTCAGAATCGATCACAATGGCGTCGGTGTATACACACTCTGTCTTTCTTTAGACCGTGAAATTAAAATTACTTTATATCATTCCTTCTACGAACTAATTCTTTCCCCCCATATTATATTCTTATATAAAATCCCTTCTTACTACCATCAAAGTAACTGCTTCTACGAATTTGGTGTTCATCTTGTACTAGTGAGGTAGGGCAACTTGGATTGATGCATATATGTACGTTGTCCGAAGGTGTAGCTGACTCACTGAATTTAAATAGACCAATGCATAGCAACTTGTTTTTCAATGAAGTCGGGATATTTTTATCGCTGTATAGCCCTGCAATTTTTCGTGGTTAAATTATTGGTCTTTAGCTCCTGCGTTGTACATATGCAGTACCGGAATCCAAATTTTCGGAATCCTTTTCTTTCTTTTAGTAATAAATTCCCACAAATGGGTGAGGAATATCTGTTGTCACTTTTAGTGTGACTGGCTCTCCGTTTGGTATGATGACCTGTGAGACCTAAATATTATTAGGTATTTAATAAAAAAATTTAGTCAGTCAGTCAGTAACAACATAATACTTCGTACGCACGTACATCAGTTCGAGTTGCCATACCGCATTGGCACAGAGATTCAGTTGTCGATTCAAATCTCGTAGTGGTAGAGGTAATTAAATTATAAGCAGTAATCGGGAAGATTAGGGTTCGAAGATGTTATTCAAGGAGTATAATCGAGTAAAATAAATTTGGAAAAAGAGAAAGAAAAGGACATGAAGAAATCGGAAGATTAGAATTTGGGAGAACACTAAGAGCGAATACACCTGCGTCATTGCAGACTATTTTGAGCCAAATCATTCAAGGTCTCTAACCACCGGTTGCTGTCATTTCGTGGACCCAAACAAATTAGTTTATACCTATTAAAATGACTAGGTTCAGTTGTGACTTCACGGAGTGGTTCCATGTTTTGACTTTGCCGTCCCTAGCTTTCTTCCATCCTACTCCTCCTACACTATAAAACATTGCTCGTCGGATCAGTCAGTGGTTGGACATACGTAACATATATCCCCCAGCCATCTCAACTGACGAAGTTTCACTACTTCATCAATTGATTTGCCATCCTTACCTAGTACCCGTTTCCTAACAACTACATTACTTACTCAATAAAAAAATACAATTGTTAATTATTATAAAAGTCATAATTAAGCTTAAATCAAATCCGTCTGGTTGACAATGGATAGGATGTACTGCCAATGAAAACAATTTAAACCAACACATTCACTAGACCGTTACATGGCTAATCGTGTGTTTTTTATTGTCAGTTAAGGCGTCTACGTGGCCTCAGTTCAAAGTGACTGTGATTCTTCCTATTCCATAATGGTAGATTTCGAGTGTAACCATAATTATTTAGAAAGTAACTGATGGTTTACGTGTTATCGAAGTATGTGCTCAACATGTCTAGGTGTACCCACTTTTCTCACAAATATATAGACATATAGCATACTGGGAAACAAATTATCTCCGGTTGTAATTACATTCGAACTTGAATCTAAACTAGTGATGACTAAAGCTCATTGCTACTAAGAAGATAGTCAGTGTACGAATTGTTGACTTTTACATGCATCGTGATAAAATAATAACCAATAATACAATTTTTTTAAAATCATTATTATTATTATTGGGCAATAGATTTAAGAATAACAGATTAGTCAGATGTAAAAAATTGTTCATTGATGTGGTTGTCAGTGTGAGTAATAACTTCAAACCACATTTATTTTAATAGTGTTCTTCCATATGTAGTCAAACACTCCTTGGTCTCCAATGGTTCACCAGCCGAAGGTTATTTCGTGATGAACACTATCTTCGAAATCAAACTAACCAAATAGACAAAATCTTTTTTCCTTTCTTATTACTAGTCCGGCGCTTTATCCGGGTTGATGGATACGGAAGATCCACCTAGGGGAGTTGGAAAACCCTGATTCCAAACCAATGGTACACATGAACTCCAGTATCCTGAGGGACCAAATAGTGTATGAACCGATTATTGATCACCGGCTACCATGGGACTGCATCTTCTGACGTTGCTTCACTGCCTTGTGGATCAGACCTTCAGATCAAAGGCTTGGGGTATGGTCCTCTGGGGAAACTGCCTGTTTCGGTTTGGACACTCAGGCAATATCACAGCCCTCACACAAATCAAATGAGATTTGTGTGGCGCCTATCTATATGCTGCCTCCGTGTACATATGTTTGTGTTTAAATAATAAATAAATTAACTAAATAGTAGCCCAATTAGAATACGAGAAGAGTTAGACAATTTACCATCTGTTAAGGTTTAAAAACTCGCGTGAATGTATAGGTCATCTACATGTCCACAACTCACTACGATTAGGAAACATTAATCTGTACGTTTTTGGTGCAGTAATAGAAATATAATTAGTTAATTCTAATTTATGAGTGAGTAAAAGGTATGCCAATTGTTAATGAGTTAAATAAAGGCTTACGATCAAGACAACTACTTAATTGGTACATATCAGAAAAAATATACATAAATATTTTAATTTGTTGGGAAATAATTTTCAAAGTTTCACCTTTTCTAACAAAAATGACCTAGTTATGTGGAGTTTGTTGGGATTTCGTTTCATTTGGAAACTAGTGGAAATTAGGGAAGCCTACTGCAAAGTTATTTCATCTTTGTTTAATACTGCTCGTCAGTTTATGTATTCGCTATCCTCCTGATACACAAAATCAAGCTTCGTAAATTCATGTCTCGTGGGTGAAACAATACGATTCCACTGTTGAGTTAAAACGACTCTTTTTAAAGGTCATTATGTAATACTTAGTATCATGTTCAGTTACAAAGAATAATAGATGAACATATTTTGTTTATGCTTATATATACGATTTTTAAAAGCTTTCCAAATAAATTATATATATATATATATATATATAATATTATTTTTAGGCTATTTATGCAATGGTTGGCTCTGCTGTTGAATTCAGTGTTACAGATTCTACACCGGAAAAACGAGCAGAGAAAATATTTCAGTTGATGGACTTAGATAGAGATAATCGTTTGTCATTAGATGAATTTATAAATGGTGTAAAATGTGATAAATTATTAATGCGTTTGTTGACTTTCAATACTCATTCGTTGCATCATCAACATTCAGATTGTCTAATGAATGGATCAAATGATAACAAAGGATGGTCATGTACAGATACCCATTATAATCATCAATCTAATGATTATGATAATACAGTCAAGCCAATTGTAAATCAATCATTTCCCAAACAGAATGTTATTCCTGATACCTCAGAGTCTTAAAGCAGATTCATCTTTTTGCATATGAAACTATATATATATATATATATATATATATATATATATATATATATATATATATATATATATATGATTTGTAAAGGTAATTATCTTGATAAATCTGATCTTTAAAACTTCTTGATATATTATTATACTAGATTGTTTTCAGAATGGGGGTTTGTGAGGATTGCAGTAATCTTAATAGTTAAATTCATAAGTTGATCTAAGCTAGACTACTATTGAGTGGGTGCGCACTGCTGAGGAGTCCCGCATTAGTAAAAAACCGGCCATCTAGTGCTTTCAGGTTTTTAGTGGTGGTCTAACTTAGATCGACTCATTAATTCAACTATTAATGTTATACTAGATGTTTATTATTTTATCAGTACATATGTTATAAGGTTATTTGATTTTTACGCTCATACATACTTGTAACTTCTGAAATTTCTCTTCATGAAACAAAAGATAGTTTTCTCTCATGATTAGTTAACTCAAATAAGAATAAAGAAGTGTTGTGTATTGCCTTGTAATTTCATAAGCTTCTGAAAGAGTAACTGTTATGAGTACTAATTAATGTGCTCAATAGGTTCCATTAACAAATTAATATTAAACATTGGCTCTCTATGTTTCACTGGAAACTAAGGGTGAATGGTCATTTTTAAGAACACTCTAAGAACGTGCACCAGTATCTAATAATAGTGACCTTTTCTTCAAAATTCTGTATACAAATCAATTAGTGAACATAAAATAATGGTATACTTTGTCAAATTAACATTTTTTAATTTGAGGTCATGAACTGGTCAGTGTTGTACCACCATTGGAAAGCTGGAAGCACTGGACGGCCGTTTTGTCCTAGTGTGGGATTCCTCAGCAGTGTACATGTGCGATCATGCACAAAAGGTTTGAACCCAGTACCGTCGGTTACCAATGAAGTGCCGTCTTATTTGGTTTAATTTCCGACTATATATATGCAAGGACACGTTAGAGGTCATTTGGAGTTGGAATTCAAATGGTGTGCTCGGTGTCAATTAAATGTCGAGGTATTACACTATTCAGAGGCATTGCGCCTCCCAGTCTCAAGTTCTTTGGAACGTGCTCGGAAATGCGACTATGTACCCTTTTCTCTGTCCTTCCGATGTATGTGTTTGACACGTACATGCAAATCGGTAAATGTAGTTGAAAGTACTGAGAAAAGAGGCCCTGTCAATTGTTGTTTATGTGAGTGAGCATTTCGTTTCAGTCCTGCTGATGGATAAGCAACTTTCAACGCAGCATTTATCCCGTGGTTAATTATCGCAGTGATTTCATCTCCTTTGAAGCGCGAATATAAGAAGCAGGTTCTCTTATCAATCGTATTTAACCCGTAGGTTGGTTTTGGCATACTTCTCTATGAATTTCTCTGGATATGTATTTTCACGTAGGCAGTTTGTAGTGAAGGCAAGTTCTTCAAGGCTTTCCTCCGAGCAAATTTTGCGGGGACGGTCAAAAAACGTTCGTACAGTTCGCTTTTTATAACTTATTGGACAGAAACTATTGTAATTGCGATAAGCTCCACTTCAGGTATTTTTACAGTGGATATGTATCTGTAATGTGCCATCTGAAGTTCTTTAGGTTCCAATATCGAAGAATTGGAACTCATCTATCTCATGTTCCATAGTAAAATCTATATCCTTGTGTACTTTGTTACCGAGAAAAAACTAAGTCGAATTGAAACAAAAACACTCTCCCTCCGATTTAAATTTCATATTGCGAAAAAATTCAACATAATCGAGACCGAAACTCAGTTCGAGTATTTATATCAATAGTTGTCGGACCTAAACCCCATAAATGATGAAAAACAAAGTTAGTTGAAATCAAAATTACTGGATATTACAAGTCAGTACGTTACGACACCATTTCCTTAATGTAGGGTGTTGAGTAAAGATCATCAGGCACTGAGAAAACTTATAAAACAAGAAACAATAATGCTACTTCGCCTGGACAAGGGCTTCCGTGTAGTCATCCTAATCAGAGACGAACACATTAGCAAGATAATGTCTATTTTAAATAATACCATCAGACTTATCATCGAAAATACTCAGAAAGATCTGAAAAGCGTCTTTCGAAAAAGTTGAGAAAACTGTTGAAGAAAAATGTAATTGGTAAAGTATCTTACAATGAATTCGAACCGAAAAGACCACAATTACCTTACTTATGCGTCTTACCTAAAATCCCAATGAGGTAAAAATTATCTGTGACCAAATCACCTTTCGACAAACTTACCCGGTGTCTGACTAAGTGTTCAGAACCAATCCGTGAGAAATTAGCTCTCTACAGTTTGAAGGATGCTTTCAAATTTGGAAAAAAGCTTAACATCTAAAGTGCTTTCGATAGTAGTTTTTAGTTATACGGCCAGAGAAAAGAACAACTTATCTAAATGAAATAAGTTCTTGTCCCATTACACCAGTGGTAATTTCCAGGATTTTGTATGGCAACTGACAATTGGTTCAACGAGAGTGTAGCTGTGAAAGTCATGCTGTAAACTCAATATTTTGCTGACCTACTGGATCAGTTGTCCATATTAGTATTTATAGATGGATAATTAGAAATAGCTCTGCATACAAGTTACTCGTAAGCATAAGTTCAAACAGAAGCTATAAATCAGTCCGTTTGAAATTAAGTTTGTGAAATCAATACAACTCACATAGTACCATTAAGTATGATGTCTTCATTTAATCGAATGCTTATAAGTCGATAAAGTGAGTGCAAACCATGTGATTATCAGATAGAGCATAGGTTTTAGTCAGTGAGAGCATAGCACCCAACCCATTTCTATGATAATGGTATCAACTTTGAGTCAGTGTTTGTGTAAATACAACAATGATGCTTTCAGTTTGCAGATTTGCTCGACTGCAGACACCAGTCATTTGCACAAACGACTGCCGTCAAACCTCTCATCAAGCTGATAAAGTTTCAACCAACTGATAGTAAAAGCTCTTTTTTGAGAATATCAGTGTTAGATGGAGATAACTGAGTAAACCACACTATTTGTGGAAGTAGTTATCAGTCATATTATCGGCTGACTTAGTTTTTGGGCTCAACACATATCAACCATATTACGTGACTGTTAAATCGTAATAATGCTTTGTGGCGATCTCAAGAAACCATTATGAATAGCTACTTGTATCTTTGGTTTGGCATTAGCTATGAGAGAAGAAGTTAATGTTGTTTTACATACCAAAAACTTTTGATGGTTCAGAATACGTTCAAAGCTGTTGATTCGTAAATTCCAGGAGTTAAAAAATAGTTTAATGCCAATGAATTTGGGTCACCTGATTGCACTACAGTTCATGTTGCAGAAATATTCGTTAACTTAGTACTTAACATTTATAGTCGTGTAAAAATGACGATAAGAACCACTGACAAGTATTAGACTATTGTTTGATCTTAAATGCTTCGTTTAAAAGCCACTTAATGGTAGTATGTCATACGAAACCATGAAATGTATTTTATGCCGAAAACGAGCTTGTGTGTGTTCTAATTATATATATATATATATATATATATATATATATATATATATATATATATATATATATATATATATATATAAGCGAACGGTTGGCTGCACTTGGTTGATTTTTGTGCATCATGTGTCGTACGTGATCCAGTTGCAGGATCTCTTTCCATTATTCTGTTTGCAATACTCACTAAGCGAGACCGAGTGGAGTCCGGGTCTTTTTCTGGGACTGTTTCACCTACTGTGTTGTCGCACACCAAGACTTGGCTGTCAACTAAAGACTGTGATGGTGATTTATCACCTATTTCTCCTCGGAAAGACCTTTTGATTCTCCAGCCGTCTGATAAGGATAAACGGTTTAAACCGTTTATCTAGTAATTATTATGATGATTATTATTCCTCATCTTAAAATGGTGTATGAGATGGTGAACTTAATTTTAAAATTAAGTCGCAGACTTCGTGTGTGACTGCAGGGGGGGGGAGGAATGGCACGAATTTTGATTTAATATTATGTCTCATGAAGTAATGTTTTAATTGATCAAACCACAATTCGGGATCACCGCGTTTAAATTCTGGGAATCGGATTTCCGTAGTCATAATATAGTCTATCTTCACGGGTGAGAAATTCTAAGGCCGTCGCAGTGATAGTCATATTTTATTAGACAGGCTAAGATCTCTTCTGGAGCGGTAACCGCTCTCATTGTTTCTTCTAATTCGACCTCCCGCGCGATCTCTGATTGGTTGCCATGTTTTCCAGCTCAAATGGTTGTGGACGGAATAGAAGAAGCTCTTGCTTAACAGGCTTCCGTGTCTAGTAGCAGAGGATCACCAAATCCTCCAGGCAGGAACCTAGGTATGTTAACAATAAAAGAGGAAAAGAAATTAGTGTGGTACTATCCTTAGTCCTTAACACTAGATCAAGTTGCCTCTTAAAGGACTCCTGGGAAGTCACTTGGACTAGCTCGGCCGGCAGCGAATTCCAACATTTGACAACTCTTAAGGAGTAGGAATTGTATCTACAGTCCGTTCTGCTATGTTGTGTCTCCAGATTTTGGGTGTTACCTTTTAGGTTAGTGTTGGAACTAAGCTTAAGTAGGTGTATGAGAGGATGTCCAGAGGTGTTAAGGATACTATAAGCCATCAGAAGGTCACCTCTAAGACGTCTATACTCTAATGGGTAAAGGTTGAGTGAATGGAGGCGCTCTTCGTAAGGTTTAAATTTGAGTCCTCAAATTGATTTCGTGGCTCGCCGTTGGATACGCTCCAGGGTGTCCTTATCCTTTTGGAGTGAGGGAGGAAATACTATGTTTCGGTACTCTAAATGGGAACGGATGAAACTATTGAAGATTATATGGAAAGTTCTTCCGTCAAACTGGCCAAAAATGCGCTTCAAAGTTACCAGTGTAAGGTTTGCTCGGAAGGCATTTTTGTCACAGTTAGCGTAAGACTTTAAATCGTAAGGCACCAGGAATCCTAAATCTTTTTGACTTGGGATACTACTAGAGAAGAGTTACCTAAGTTATAACTGTAGTCTGTGACATGTCGCAGATGGACTACTTTACACTTTGAAGTGTTAAAGGTAAGTCCGTTATCGTCTACCCAACTCTGAAGTCGAGTCAGATCCTCCTGAAGTGCCTGTATATCGTCTTGGTTGCATATCTCTCTCCAAAGTTTCACTTCGTCGGCAAAAAGTAATAAGTCTGACGATACCTGTTGAGGAAGATCATTTATATAAATCAAGAAGAGAAGAAGTCCCATTACTGAGCCCTGAACGACCCCACTAGGGCATTCCATAGCCTGAGACAAAGTGAAATTAACCCTGACCTTAAAATGTCGATTTTTCAGGTATGAAGTGAGCCAATCGATTAGAGGTGGTCTGATACCCAATCGTTTGAGCTTATTGATAAGACAAGTATGGTTAACCTTATCAAAAGCTTTTGATAGGTCTAGGTAGATGTTATCAACCTTCCCCCTGTGATCAAGGATGCGTGTCCATCTGTCCACCACAGTCAGCAGGCTGATAATACAAGA